CATGAAAATTGGTCTAGCCGATCTCGAGTTATAAGTGTTGTAACAAACCCGACTTTGTTTTATATATATAGATTATATGCATATATGTTAAAACGCGATTTAAGCCGAGAACAATTTGGCATTCAGTATAAATTAACAACAATTTATTGCCTTTATATCCTTACCTTCGTGTACTCAAAACACACCGTTTTCACCATCAAAACCAAACATATCAGTGCATATACAGGTTGGTTGAAAAGATTCTGCGCTCGAAATGAAAAAATACTATGTTTGGTACGAAATATATATTTTTTATTCAATATAATCTCCCTTAACTTCAATATACTTATACCAATGATCCTCCAATAATTTTATGCCATCCCTATAATGGCTTTCCGGAAGATCTGTAAAATACCCGTCCATGGCTGTAATAGCTTCTTCATTCGACAAAAACCCTTTCCACGAAGGAATTTATTCCGGTTTCTGAAAAGGTAGTAGTCGCTGGGAGCCAAATCTGGTGAATATGGTGGATGCTCAAGCAATTCGTACTTCAATTCGTTGAATTTTTTTATTGTTAAAACACCTTTGTGTGCAGGTGCATTGTTTTAATAGAAAATTATTTTTTTGAGCTGCAAACCAGGGGTTTTTCACGAACTTTTTCATCCAGCTAATCCAAAAGGCTGCAATAATGTTCAGAGTTGATAATTTTACCTTTCTGCTGATAATCAATCAAGAAAATTCTTTTTGCATCCCAAAAACTGATGCCATAACCTTCTTTGCAGATTGTTGTGACTTCACCTGCTTAGGAGCTGATCAACCTGTTTCAGTCCACTGTAAACGTTTTTGTTTCAATCATGGTGTTAGATCTAAGTCTCATCCATAGTTATAAAACGACACAAGAAATCGGTTTTATTCTGCTTAAAACGATCCAGTTTTTGTTGAATTGTTAACGTACGCGGCACTAACTTTCCAAACAGCTTCTTCATATGTAATTCTCCATGTAAAATAAGAAGTACTCGCTCGTCTGAGATGCCTATGGCATTATCAATTAACGCTTAGTCAAACTTGGATCTTCACTAACAATATTATAAACTTGCTCAATGACTTCTAGTGCGGTTGCGGTTTTTATTCGTCCTTCGCGTGGGTCGCCTTCAAGCCTTGTACGACCACTTTTAAATTCACAAGCCCAAAATTCAACGGTGCGTTTTGAAGGTGAGAACTCCTTATACACTTCTAACAATTGTTTATAAATTTCTTTTGCTTTTAAACCTTTCAAAATAAAAAATCTAATCACTACGTAATATAAAATTTTTTCCTTATTAAAAAAATTCTCTGACACATCAACTTCAAATGGCTTGTAAACAAATAATTAATTGACAGAATGACTTGTATCCTTGCATGTGTTCTCACAACAGACGTAACAACTTGAGAAAAAAAATTGAAGCTAGTAGTGCTATTTCTTGGTGAGCACTAATCACTTTTTAACCAACCTGTATACTTACCAATTTGTCCGGCAATACCCCTTATGCTAATAAAGTATTATAGTAAGCAGGGTTGCCTAACTTAAGTAACCAAGGGCCAAATATAAAACAAAACGAGTAAATGACAAAAAAAACATAAATAAATAAGAAAACAAAAACATACATATATGCATATTTACGTAGCGTATACATATATACAGGGTGGCTCAGGAATTGTGCTACAAAAACAGATTGTAATACATTTTTTTCTGAGTAATCGACTTACTTTTTTTATTTGGCAGGTTATTGTTTAAGTTTTTTGAATGTGGGCTTGAGATACCGAAAAAAAGGTATAGAGGATAGTGCAGCGGTAACAACTTTCTGTACGAAGTTCAAATAAAAAGCCAGTTAAGCCCTCTAGATTTGCCTATTTGAATTTTGCCATGATGAAAATGGCCGAAGAAGACAATAACTTGATAAATTGATGAGGTCCATTTAGATCTAAACGGAAATGTAAACAAGCCAAATTGCCGTATATGGAGTGAATAACTTGATAAATTGGTGAGGTCCATTCCGATTTAAAAGGAAATCTCAACAAGCAAAATTGCCGTATATGGAGTGAATCAAATCCAGAAATAATCCACGAGACGGAACTTCACCCAGAACGAGTTACTATGTGGTACGCAGTTTCCTCAAGGTGTGTTGTCGAGTGATACTTCTTTGAAGAAAACGGTGTAACCGTAAGTGTCAATGGGCACCGTTATTTAAAGATGTTGAATGAGTTTTTTACCAGGAACTGCGCAGAAGACGTATCGTTTTCAATAGCGTTTGGTTCCAGCAAGATAGAGCGACTGCGCTCATAGCCAGACCGGTTATTGCGGAGATCTATCGAAAATTTGAAAACAAATTAATATCAAGAAACTCCGCTTTCCGCTGGCTACCAAGGTCACCTGACCTGACTGCACCAGACTTTTTATGGGGTTATGTCAAGCAAGAGATGTACAAAACCAAACCCAGAAATCTGACTGAATTGAAGCAGTCAGGTCGCTGTGAAACATTTTCTAATTAGGTGTCGCAAATGGTTGGCTGAGCATGGGGGTCAGTTAGGGTCCATAATTTTTAAAAATAATACATTTCATCCTCACTGATTCAGGAAAATTCTGAATCGGTATTAGAAATCAAAAAAGACAATGTTGACAATTTCTGGACTCGTCTTCAAGCTGCATATGATGCAATAGAAGAATATGACGACTCAGATTTACCGGAAAATTTTAAATCCTCGGCTTACGCCAAATACGAAAACTGCTTACACCAGTTTGAAGAAACTATAGCAATGATTTCTGATCAAATAAAACTAATTAAAGCAATTGAACCTACTCCACATCAGTAAAGCTTCCACAAGTACAAAGTCAAGATACATGTTCAGGCATCCATCTCAAGGTGCCCGCATGTGACACAGAAATATTTCATGGAGGTTATGAACTATGGCCGTTCTTTCGGGACATGTTTACCGCCGTTTATATAACCATCCTAAATTATCAAAAGCGCAAAAAATGTATCACCTCCGATAAAAACCTAAAAGTCAAGCAGATAGTAAAAAAAGTTCGCACTAAATGACAATTTTAATTTGGATTGGGAAGCTCTAAAATCTAGATACGAAAATGAAAGAATATTGCTAGATAAGCAAGTAACGATACTAATCAACTTGCCTTCGATTCAAAAGGAAACAAGTAAAGAATGTATAAAACTACAACGCATTGTTTCTAATTGGTTGTCGGACCTATCGACATATTCTCACAGACAGCTGGGACCCAATACTGGTAAATATTATATATGCACCGCCGCATTACTAGAAAAATCTTTACTTGTGGGTGCAATCGCTCTCATCTCGAAAAAATGCCCAACGTGGCAATAAATGAAAGACTTTCCAATTATCCAATACGAAATTGCAGAAAGGGTAATTAAAAAAATGGTCAGAACGAAAAACGTTCAACAAGATTTAAATCAAAGCTTCAATAGACCCCAAGTCAGTAGCAACAACAATTTAAATAGACACTTTTTTAAAAATCAATCGTTCACATCCGAACAGTATAAACATACGTCATGCGAATTGTGCACAGGAGCACATAGGCTCAAATCTTGCGAGTAATTCAAAAAATTGATAATTATATGTATTAAAGGCTTTGTACAAACTGTTTGTCACATGCGCATTCACTCAAAGATTGCGAAAGCAAGTTCAAAGGCGTCTATTATCATAAACGACATCATTGATTGAAGCCGTTCTCAATTCACGGCCACTCAAAATCCATGATGATTGTCTACTTCCTACCGCATGGCGGATTTGCCGCGTAGAAAAGCTACATTACGTCTCCGAAGACCAGACCGCTCAAGAAGCTATGCGTAAAACGTAAATAATAAACCTCCGAACAAATCCAACCAATAATTCGAAAAATCGCAAAGGGAAAACAAATCTAAACAAAATTTGAGCAAATTTCATGCATAAAGGGTAGATTAACTCCACCCACCAATGAAATAAAGCCGCTACAACCAGCATAAACGCCTGTAGAAAACAATAGACAAACTGCTAAAATCACCTTTCAGTGTAGAGTGGCTCCATATAAGATTGCAGAGAAGCTTTACATACGACTAGTTAGGAAGCTTTACGCAAGTGGAACCATTTGTATTTCAGTATGAATATCAACATAGATATGAATTCCCATATGCTAAAATTTACAGAAAGAAATATTTCATTTTTGTCTATACAGTAATATAAGCTACATGCTTACTTGATAAAAAGTAATTTCCCGCAAGTACTCCATGGACTAGTTTGAAAGAGTAGTATCCCTAAGCTTTTCCATGGAGAATCCGATGTCATTCAGGGTTTGTATGGCTCTGCCTTCGAATATCGCAACATTAAATGGAATGAATTAAGTTTGCCACGATGTTTGTAACACCCAAAGAAAATCTTCAAAGACCCTATAAAGTATATATTATATATATACCTATATATAAATGATCAGCGTGTCGAGCTGAGTCGATTTAGACATGTCCGTCTGTCCGTCCTTTTCTCACTAAAAAGCTTCTTTTTTGTCGGAACAGCTAATAACGGACCACAATATAATATAGCTGCCATACAAACTGAACGATTGAAATAAAGTGTTTTCTTTTGATGATATATCTTCACGAAATTTGGCATGGGTTATTGCCTAAGGCAATAAAGCAATCTCGGAAGAAATTGTTCAGATTGAATAGCATATATGTGCCATACAAACTGAAAGATAAAAGTTGTTGTAAGGAATCTTTCGAAACTATGAAGGGTATTATAATTTCGGTGCAACCGAAGTTAACGTTTTTTCTTGTTTACATAAAATGTAGATAATTTTGGACTGTCCTATAAACGAAGCAGTAATTTTTTCATGCATGTATGGTGTACACGCCTCTTTTGCACAGATTTACATACTTACAAGTATAAAGATAAAATGTATGGTATTTACATGTTATGTATACAAATCTCGAACTGTAATATTTAATATGTATTTTTACAATTCTACTATTACTTACTTCTTTGTACATATGTATGTTAAGAATTGCACTGTCAACTTCCAATTCCAAAACTGCGATAACAAGTGAAATTTGTACTCGGTGTATGTTTTTTGAAAAGTGACCTTAGTTTTAACTTAAGTCTGCATATTCGTTTTTCGGCGGCTTAGCACGGCTTTTTGGATTGCTTGATAAGTTGTACAGTAAGGCGCGTTTGCCCAGCTAAGTGGATGCTTTGCGGCGTATAGTCTCTAGTGTTTGTGGTGTTTACTCTGGTTTTAATCGATGCCATTGGACAATAGTTTGACGCGGCTTTGATATCATGTCTTGCCAGTGTTTAGTTTCGGAAGCACCAGATCCGTTCTTTCCTGTTACATTTTGACACAATATTCATAAATTGTAAAAACAAACCGATGATGATTTTTTTGTACACCGAAATAGTTACGATCCCCATAGAGCAGTACATTCGTTATTTTAATTAAGTTGCACAGTTTCGAAAGAATTTATTCATTTATTTCGGGACCGTTGTTATCAAGATCATTGATATTTGGATGTGTAAATAAATGGAAAAATTATTAATGATTAAAAATTATTATAATTATAACATATTTATTGTTATATATGTATATATATATATTATATAGTTGTACTTGATTTTATTAATTTAATTGTACCCTTTATTTGCTTTGATATTTTAAATGAAGAGTAAACATTTGCACTGTTAAGGCTAAAATATAAAACAAGAAAAAAAAACTGCAGGTTGTTTTGATGTTGTTTTACGCAAACTGCTTATTTATGAAACCTCAACATGCATGCAGAAATAAATTAAAACTAGTGTAATTATATATTTTAAAACATTTTATTGGTTTATTATTTGTTGCTAAATACAATAATAATTGCAAAATTCGTAACACAAATTTTTAAATTAAAATTGCATTACTTGAGTAAATTTCGATAAAACAACAACTTGTCAATAATTATAAAAATAGCCATTAGTTCTATGGTAAATCTAAGTAATGCGAGCTACCATCCAGTCCACTTCCTATATATCCAAATTTTAAATACCATATACTTTACAGTATATAAATCCAGCACCAATAAAGTTATCGGAATAAAACTATGCAAAACTTAGTGGCCTCAAAAAAGTCTATCTCAATTATCAAAATCGGACCATAACGTTTCAAACAACCTGATACCGAGTATGTGGACGACAGCGCCTAGGTTGGATTTTAATCAATACATCGGTCACTCTGTGAGCTATGTTATTGAAATTCAGAGATAACCTTTTTCCGATAATAATGTGAGATTGCGTCAAAAATAGAAAGAATCGTATCGATACTTCCCGTTGGCCCCATAAGCCCAATATAAAGATTTTCGGAGTTCCATTTGGCGTTATCGGATATATCGGTCAATTTTTTATCTAAATGGAATTTCATTGGCTTCTCTTTATAATATCCGGTGTCGTTTCGCCTAAATCGCCTAAAATAGATAATATCGGGACAATACTTCCTCAAGCAACCATATACCTAATAAAAGGATCTTCTAATTTCCGCTTGGCTGTATACCATACATAATATATTTATAAATATGTAAGATAACAAAGTAAAATGATCATATGTACCCTAAGAAATGCTAGATATACTGTAGTGTAGTAGCTAATAAGTAATAGTTTTAAAAAACTAAAAAACCACTTTAAAATAAAATTATATTGTAATAAACTTAAAGTTAATAAGAGAATAATTCAATTCAGAGTAAAAAGCGTGGGGTGCCTTATACTATATGTTCATAACTTTTTACTAGATTTTTATAACTCTTCTCTCATAAACAGTTGCAGATATTATTTTATTTCAAAGTAATTAATCATGATTGACTACTGCTACTACTATAATATAAACTCTTTGTCATTAAAAATTATTTACTACTTATTATATATAGTTCGATTAGCTATAAAAGCGTGGTTTTTTAGTTTTTTTAAATTATTATTCATTTTTAATTTTTTAGTTAGATTTATTAATTAATTATTCGCGGACATGCTTTAGTATTGAGATGTCTTACGAACTATCTAGTCTTTTCATCTAAAGCTACACTGTTGCATGAGGTTTTTCTTGTTAACTTAGAGCTTAATTCAGAATAAATAAAAAAAAATCGATTTCTTGAAAATTCTAACTGTATGTAACTCGTTCAGCAGCATGCTTTGGGGCATTTTTCGATAGTACATACTTTTATTTGGATAGTATTATATATGCTTTTAGTTGCATAATTTTATAGTCGTTGTACGATTTCGCTCATTTTCACATTGTGTAATAGGAATGAATAGGTAACCTCACATACCAAATTCAATTGAAATTAGTTCGATAGCTCCTGGATAGAAGGATTTCATCTAAAGTTTGGCGATGCCACGCCCATTTTTAAATTTCTACACCTCCTTTTATAAAGCTCTTCCCTACCATCTTGTACGTGAAATTTAATGCTAATGGCGCATTTATTTCGTGAGTTATCACACTTTTAGTAGTTTTTAACATAACCGTTATATGGGGAGTGGGCGTGGTTATTATCCCATTTTCACAGTGTATGAAAAAAGGCTAAAAGGATTTCCTCGCAGCAAATTTGGTTGAGTGAGCTTTAGCGGTTTGGAAGATATATACATTAAACCATTCAGAGGGCGGGGTTACGCCCACCTTTAAAATAATGGGAAACTGTTATCAAATTATTGCATTGTCATCGCTCCTTCACACGTGTTCAAAGTTTCAGTTGATCAGACTTCTGGAAACCGGTGAAAATTGAGCTCTAAGATTCCATTACATACATACAACCCAAGTTAATAAAAGCGTATTAAAAATAGGTGTAGTCGGCAACTTAAAGCACATGTTATACATAGAAATATATAGAATGGAAAGAGTTCTATGCAAAAATAGAATAGTATAGTATACTCGTTTTAGATTTCTTTGTGGATCTTTGAACATATTATTCACGCAAAGTTTTACGCCGATATAATCATTGTTGCTTGATTTGCATACTGGAAAGTGAAAAAATCAGATGGAATTTAAAATGATGTTATATGGGAAATAGGCGTGGTTGTAATTCGATTTCGCCCATTTTCGTACTATGACATAGAAATATGAGAAGAATATTATGTACCGAATTTGGTTGAAATCGGTTATGCAGATCCCAAGATATGGGTTTTCACCTAAAAGTGGGCGGCGCCACGCCCACTATCTAATTTTGAACGTGGTTCCTATAAAATCATCTTATACCATCCCAGAGATAAAATTTAATATCTCTGGCTTGTTTCGTGCTGGATTTATCGCGCTTTTAGTAGTGTTTAACAGTACAGTTATATGGGGAGTGGGCGGGGTTGTCACTCGATTTCACCTATATTCACACCGTCGAGAGACATGCTAAAAACATTTGTTCCCAGTGAATTTTGTTATTATAGCCTCAGTGGTATAGGAGATATGCACATTAAACTTATTAGGGGCGGGATCACACCCACTTAAAAAAAATTTTAACTGCAGAGGCCCCTCCCTAATGTGATCCTGTATACCAAATAAGAGTTTTGTATCTTGTTGTGGAGCTTAGTTAGTGGCGTTTTGTGGGCGTGGCAGTGGTCCGATTACGCCTATCTGCAATACCAACCAAGGTGCCAAGAAACATGTGTACCAAGTCTCATAAAGATATCTCAATTTTTACTCAAGTTACAGCTTGCACAGACGGACGGACAGACAGACAGTCACCCGGATTTCAACTCGTCTCTTCATCCTGATCATTTATATATATATAACCCTATATCTAACTCGATTAGTTTAAGGTGATACAAACAACTGTTAGGTGAACAAAACTATTATACTCTGTAGCAACAAGGGTATAGAAATATGAGAACTTCTAAATAAACTCTCAAAAATATTCGTAATGGTGTAGCGATTACTTAAATGATGGCTTGTTAATACTTGTGTTCCATACGAGCGCCTGATTGCCAGCATTGTGCCGTAACCAGCATACTCGTAGATTGTGTATGTAACACAAGAAAGACTGCCCCAAAATGGGCTTGCTTTGTTTTTGACTTTTAAATTTGGTACATATGTTTAAGAAGGGTGGAATTTTACTATACTTGCATGAAACGCTGAAGATATAAATATACTGCATACTTTTTTCTTTTCGTATTCTTACAGACTTACGGTCTCTTATAGGACACCGTTCAAAGGCTGTATAATCATTAACATTAAAAGTAAAGCAGATCAATTTAAAAAAGTTTGAATTGAGCTAGCGGTGTGTGAGTGATACCTAAAGCTCCAATATAATTCATCATAAGACCCTCACAAATCGACAAAGCGCTTTGAGTCTATCACAAATTTGTTGGAACAGCTAACGTAAATTTCGGTTATGTCTCCTGAGTCGCCGAAAATAAGGCTGCCGAGATGTTTCAACTTCAGTCTTGTAAAGCTGGACAATTGAGAAGAAAGTGCCTGGACTGATTTGCACCGTCTGACAAGATTTTTAGCCTTACCGCATTCCTATAGGACAATGCCCAGTAAGAACTTCTATGATTGCGACAAAAAGAACTTTATTAAGTCCAAGTTGTTCATTTGATCTCCTACGTTCTACTTTTACACATACACATGTTAAGGAATAACTTTTAAACTATACAAGTATACTAGAAAGTGTACGCTTTTGTATGTGTTTAAAAGGTCGTACGAGTGCAACTTTCACATAAATGTGTGTGTTCATTTATTGGTGTATACTCCCAAATGACTGCAAAGTATTCTACAATAACATTTTTCTTATAACGATTACTTATATTAAAGCACTAAGTCTACACGTGATTCGATATAAAAATTGTAGAATGGACATGTCAGTCACCTTGTTCTAGTCACAATATAATATTAGGTAACTAGGTTTCGATTTTTTTCCTTTGGCTAACTTTACCCGAGTATATACTTGTAGGTAATAATCATTAAGAAAAGATGTTTTAGACATCATGTAGTTTGGTGCTGAAAATTGCAGTAGTGGAACCATATGTTCCCGTAATCTCCACATATTCAATATCGTGAAATAACGAAGGTTGAATTCATATGTAACATTTTTGTATTATAAATTCTTGCTGACACCGGAAAAAATGTTCACGCCTTAGATACTTACAAATTGTTAGAATATACTCCCACGAATTTAAATCTTCGTTAATTTTTAATTTGGTTTCCGTTTTATTATAAAACTAAACTATAGCTTGTGCCAAGTGTTGAATTGACAATATTTTACTATTTTGTGACGTTCGTGTAACGCTGCTTGCTCGTTTATGGTCGTAAGAAATTTCTGACAATATTTTGACACTATGAGCTTAAAAGAATTTAAAACCCTCGAATAGGTTTTTATGCTTCTCTCTTTGCAATTGTGTAAAAAGATTTCGAGGTTTGGTTGGCTGGTTTTGCTTATAATGTTTTTTTAGTACTTTCGCTTTTTACATTTTGAAATTTATTTACCAAGGCTTGTGATTAAAATGTCTGAGTTCCAAACGGTAGAAAAAGGAAAATTCTGACATATGAAAGGGAAGTTTTGAAATTTGTATGGTGAATTCGAACATCAGAATTTTACCCAGCTCAAAAGCTAGGTAAAATTTTGACAACCTATATATGTGAGTACAGATATGCATTCACGAGAAATAGATTTTAAAAGAACTGCTGCATACATAACATGTTTGTTTTAAAATATGTTAGTAATTCGCCATTATTCATTTATTTATGATATTATTTATTCCATTTAATACAGAAATGATACTATTTATAAGGAAAATTGTAAACTTAAGATGTTGTAATTAAGTAATAGCAAGAAAAAATGTTAACTTTGGTTGCACTAAAGCTATAATACCCTTATATACGCGAACTATTCTCTTATGCACACGTCCTTTTCTACAGATCACCGATATTGAATCACTATATACATATATGCCATACAAACTGAACGTTTGGAATCAAGTGCTTGTATGAAAAACTTTTTGACCAAGTATATTCAGGAAATTATTATCCAAGGCATCGCTACAATCTCCGAAGGAATAGCTTAGATCGGACTACTATAGTATATTGCTGCCATACAACTGACCGATAAAACTCAAGTCCCTGAATGGTAAACTCTTTAACTTGTCAAGGTATCTTCACAAAATTTGACATGGAATATTATCCAAGCTCGGTGAAGCCGAAGTTAACGTTTTTTCTGGTTTTAAGTTTTATTATACTGTAATTAGCGAAGCATTTTGTTTTAATTCTTGACGTTTTACAGATGTGCTTAATATATTATATATATAATGTCGCAATTGCGTTTGTTTTAAATATAAATTTTCAAATCTTTAGATTTCATTTGGTTAAATGTAAAATCCCTTTTCTCACAAAGGAAAAGTTACCGTTTGGCACACAGACTTTGGTATAGAGATTTACTTATTGATTATTTAAAATGAGTTGCTTAAGGAGTTAAAAATGTCATACGAAATTGTGTTAGCGGCATGCAATTTATTAATTTTCCTATAAGTTTATGAATACACCTAAATAAAGTATGCTGGTAAATTGCTTTTCTCATCTGTACGTATTACTAAAAACAGTGTTTTTCTAATTCGCCTACACCATTCGCTAAATTGATTTAATCATTCAATAATTTCAAATGATATTTACTGATTCGAAAAGTTAAGATGTCAAAAAAAAAAAATTTGTGTTATAATCTCAAAGAAATATTAAAAGCAAAAAACAGCTAAAAAATTGTTGACACACACCTTAAAAATTTCATCAATTTAATAGTATTATCCTACCATTTCCCACATAGTTGCCTTTAATCGAAGTTATAACTGTAGTGTTTCTTAAATTAACCCCAGAAATTATGACTTTGAAACCATTGCGGTGATACTACTAGCCTACTCAAATCCTAAAACATAGTTATATTATTTTTATATGTAGAAGGTGTGTGTTAAGTAACAATATATCCCCAAGACATTTTCTTTGCTACTTTACTCAGGTATAAACACCGAGGATTCGTATTTTTTATGTCCAAAAATTTAATCGTTACAGCTCTGTGGTACTGATAAACAATTGCGTACGCTTTTTGAGTTATCCTGAACTGCCCTAAATTCTGCTGGTTTTCCATAAGGAAAATGTAATGCACCAACATGAGCTATAGCGGTATTTGCTATGTGCAACTTAGTTAATGTGAAAAAAATAGTTGAGTGACTTGAGCACTGAAACGGATTTATTTTTTACTACATACAACGCAAAATAAGATCATTCGTAGACATTAGACATGCATTATTAAGTGTACACGATTTCGAAAGTATTTTTGTTCTTTACTCACCAGCCAATAAAATTCTTCCAATTAACTCATTTCGTCCAATATTATCAAAATCCATTACCATTACATCTAAGGAGCATTCCCGTATCTTCTCCCACGGTACATTGAAACTAAATGACTCATTAAAGACAGGATTGAGTGTGCAATTAAATATTGGAGTCTTTCGTTTTTCGACACGCTTATCGCCGAATTGCAGCCACACTTTAACATATGGATCTGAAAGGATTTTTCGAATGGATTTTATGACAGTGATATGTCTTTATTATTTTATACATGTATACAGGATATATATATATATTTTGTAAGTTTATCTATAACATTTAAGATATACATATATGAAGTTAATATATGGTGTGGGCATTCTTAATTCTGCAGTTACTTTCAGTACCTTATACTTATTAATTTCAATTAATTCCAGACTGGTCCACCGACACCTAATGTAATTTCTTATGATAAAAATTTCATACATATACAATACAATACATGTATGTATATATACGAGTTTAAATATATATTTGTAAATTTTCTTTCACTGATTATATGCAGTGTTTTTTCAACATTTCCTTTGTTCGTTAAAAACTGCGTATTTACAATTTAGAAAGTTGAGTCGACTTTTGAATTTCTGTTTCTAATAGTCAACTCGTTCGTATTATGAAAAATTCCGAGAGGTATGTTTAGTTATTGTAAAGCACTTACAGAGATCAATAAAATCTAAGTATGTTCGAATGGGTAAAGTTTTTTCTGTACTCAAATTCCTAATTATTGTTGTTGCTTTTAATAGATATATTTTATTTTTGACAAGTTTTCTTTTTGATGAAATCGCCTACATGTGTTTTGCATCATCAGATTAGCGCCAACAAACGCTGTTTTAATTATCCGGCATATTTTGTAATCCACAGTCCAAAACTTTTTTGTGCTGCTAATTAGATAGTTTTCTACAAATTGGTGTATAATATGGGTGAATTAATAGTTCTATTTGTAAAGGAATAATCCAAAATCGAGGCAATTTATGAAAGGGAACAGTTTTTGCATAAAATTGGATGAAAAACGGGAAGATATTGAAAAAAATTACCAAGAAACTTATGGGTAGAATTTCAAAGGCGGCAAATATCGTTTAATTATAGAGTCAGACCGAAAGATCATTCTCAGAGAAACTGCAGACACACACAACTCCTCCGCCTAAATTAAATAGAATAGTAGTGTTAAAGCAAAGAAATTTACTATTCAAAGGGTGACTAAGAAAACTGAACATTTAAAATGACAGAAACTAAATAAAAAACCACAACTTAGCAAGATGAGAAAAGAAGTACGCCTTAATTTTGCCCGAACAAACATGATTTGTTTTGAAAGAAAATTTAATTTCGAAGACGCAGATAGATACAACTTTTATTTCCACGTCTTGCGTAAAGAGGAGGACTACGCTTAAACAGTCGTGCCGGAGGTTTAATAGTGTGGGGAGTCACATCTTATTATGGCACCTGAAAATTGCAGTTTTTAGCGCCAAAACGGGACGCAAATAACTATAACTGTAGTCTGTAAAAACATGAATACGAAGTAAAAGTGTCGATGTTCTGGAGTAGCCACCATACTCCCCTCACCTACATATTATAGGGAGTTCCTCAGGATGGTCGGTTAGAAAGATGTACGATGGTGGTAAGCAATATACTTCCAAGCAATATACTTCCAAGGCGTAACTAATCGACAGCCCTTATATTTACTTCCTCACCCACCACGTTAGGTTTTATTAAAAAACGATATGATTTTTTCCCAAATGAGTTTATGAAAACCTTGTCAACAAGGATGCGATCACCCATTATTAATTCCTTTTAAACACATTCTAATATTAAAAATGTTAAATTCGACCTTACATATGAAATTAACGGAAAAAATTAAGTTAGCGGAGGAGATGCTATTCTGATGACCCAATGTTTACTTGCAAATTGTTGTATGGTTTTGCTTTTATGACAACAAAAATTATATTGAATGTCCATCCGCATCTAGCTCAAATATTATGGATAAAATTTTACATCAAACAAGCATACTTGTTGAACGCTAATCATATGACGTGCGGTGTATATGTATATACCCATGTTATTACGTAAACGAAGTTTTTTTTGTCCGTGCAAAAATAGACAACGAATTTTCGTACGACCGGCACAATGGTTTAGATATCTTAAAAAAATTACCCTTTAAGTAATATGTTAGGTAGCTATTCTATATCATAGTACTAGCTTGCGACATTTAACAAATGTTGTTGGCATTATGAACGAAATTAAAATTTAGTTATAATCGTTCCCATATGTATATTAATGGCAATAAGATCTCCTGTGGAACTTTTCATCACAGTATCTATTTTTCTCTAATACGGTACCGCATACCTGAAGTCTATGTGTCCATTCATGTGTCCTAGCTAACGTTGTTTACTTGTTTTAAATTGTTATTATACAGTTCGTCATAAGGGTTTATTAATCTCCCTTGCAGAAGGTTCTACTGACAAATCTCTTTATTTCTTAATCCGATTACGCAGAAGCGGAACTAATAGTGTAATTGTTTACGCTAGCATGTAACTGAAAATTTTCGCTCAGGTCATATGCTTTCTTCAATATCAGATTGAATTACCTGCATATATTAGATTAAAGGCACGCGACAATAAGTCGGTAAATGAGGGAATTGTTTAGTATTTAACAGCTCTGATTTAGCAACTTCCTTTCCTTTCATAACATAATCTTAAGAGGATCCAGTCCTGGTATTAAAATAACTTAGCCTCTACCATCGCGATGCAGTTTGGCAGTCGCAAGGTAAAGACCAAAGACCTTAAAATATCAAAATATGCTTTATGAGAGGGTTATGGCACTTTTTCATGCACAAACCTCTAATGCCAATTAATAAACAAACAAATAATTAACACCAAACAATTAATAATTTAGATCAGTTGAACGCTTGCTGGCGTTGTTCATATTGTTTCATAGTGCGTAATTATGGGTTTTGAATATAGGTTTTCCATTGTGACTTCAAATCCAGCAAAACATTTAAACCAATTTATCACGTTCTCTAAGATAAGTAATAAATGCAATACTTTGCATGATAAAACAGTTCAGTGGTTTTGAATTAGACTGTTTGTAAAAGCTAACGTTTACATAAGTATGAACATATGCAAATTTGTAAGCTTTGGCTTCAGGCTTATGATCTTTGTAACTTTATTATTTTTTACAGAAAATGTTTAGTTGTGTGTTGATCGATATATGAGTTATATTTGCATTATATGTACATACATTTGTATCTACATACGCCAATGTGTGTAAGTGTATGTTTACTATTTACTTACCTGATTTGCCATTGATGTCTTTTGCTTTCAGATTTCGCGCTTTAATCAATGTCAATGTTAGTACTGAATTTGATGGATGATAGCAGAGCGATGAAAGCAATTCACCGCATTTATCCTTAGCTGGTGGTTTCAATGCTTTCCAAAATGATTGCTTGCTAGCGAAATCAACCTATAGCCATGTCATATACACATGTAATAGATATAAAGGGATAATGAAGATGAAAACCTTGCTACACCTTGTTACACATTACAACTTTAAGGCACATCATCATGTGCATATTATCTAATCATATTTCTAAGTCTTCAATGACTCGTTACATGATCTCTCGGTGAACTTCAGAGCAGGTTTAAATACATTTATTCACCTATCAATACCTAAATGTCACTTACTGCTGCTGTACTTGAAAAAATTAAATTAATCACAAACCACGAAAATATTTATATTGCACATATGTTACAAATGATAATACTTTAAATATCTCGTTTGCATATACTAAGATTCTATACTGCATATTACATTTATATATATATATATTAGGGTGTTCGTTATTTCACAAGTTGATTTCTTTTGCAAACGCCCACCTTTTTATGGTAAAAACTGAAATTTCAGGAGGCGTCTGCAAAAAAACAAAAAAATCATCTTGAGAAATAACCGACACCCTAATATACATGTACATAGACCAGATATATATATATCGATATATTAGGGTGGATCAAAAAGCGAATGTTTTTTCTTCGCTTCGTAGTCTGAAAAATTGTTTGATAGACACTTTTAAGAAAGGCTCTGAAATTATGAGCTCTTAATTGTAACGGGAAGGTCCTCCGCCTAACGGGTTTCTATTTTCAGATTCTATCAGATAGGGAAATATATTTTTCGCTTACAACTGTTTGAAAACATATTTCGTTTCATAGAAAGATTTCAATAGTACGGACAAACTGTCAAATGAATTTGGACTCGTCATCCTGAACGTTGATATGTATAATTCCATTTCTATCTCAATTAGTTTTAGCTGGTACAAACAACCGTTAGGTGAACAAAACTATTGTACTATGTAGCAACATGTTGATAGTATACCTAAACATGTTGATAGTATACCTAAAAACAAATTTGCCTTAAAATAGTCAAACTTCAAACTTTTAAAAGGGTAAGTTTACGAAAATACCCTAAGAGACCATTTTGTAGAGCATTCAATTTCTATGAAACGAAATATGTTTTTAAGTAGTTGGTAGCGAGAAAAAAATTGTTCTATCTGATAATAAGAAAAAAGATAGAAAACCGTAAGGCGGAGGACCATCCCTATAAGGTCATACTTGGAGAGCCTTTCTTAGAGGTGTCTATCAACCAATTGCTTAGAGTATGAAGCGAAAGATTCGTTTTTTTTTGACCCACCTAAATATATATCCATACATACCTAAATATGTATTTATTATACTTACTTTTATATAAATTATTCATATGCTGTTACCTGACATAGTGGTAGGAACACTTCACCGATGGAGTCGTCACGCGAAAACCGATCATAATCGAATACATGCAAATGCAATACCTATGGTACAAAGAAATTAGAAATTAGAAATAGTTTTTATTTTTAATGCTATTATTGAAGGAATCAAAAGTTGTTATCTATAAAAATAAAAATAATTTGACCGCTCCCTACAGTTAATGATCGTTTGGCTGTGAGCAGTAAAGAATTGGCAAAGAAGAAGATATAGAAGTTGACAAAGAGTAAGGCTATTATAGATAGCTCGAAAAAGTTAATACCAACGATTATCTTTCTTGTATCAAAAAATATGGGCCGAGTATATTATATTTCAGTTGGCAATCCCATGTCCTCAAGCCAGCTGCTCCTGTGTTACAAGGAGGCTGAAACGAATACGACATAAAACAGAACCGCACACGTGGCAGCCCACAAATACGACTTTTCGCGCATTGTTCATCACAGTCTTGATCGCAGCCATTGTATTAGCCTACAAGTAACCAAAGAATCAGCTGTTTTCCTATGTGTGTGAAACAGCCGTGATCACCTGATCGAAACTGCATTTTTTTGACACAGAGATGTAAATAAAAGGAATGTATTGTACTTTAACAACTTGCTTGTGAACATGTAGTTGTAATGGATAATATTAATGAAAACTTTCTAGAATATTTTCAAAACAAAAGATTATTATATATTTATTGCTTTTCCTCACCACCTCTGAGGTGTTCGGTTCCCCAAGAGGCCTATATTGACCCATATATAATATATACAGTTCTAAAACAATCTACTTTTCATAACAATTATAACTCAAAAAAATATATACATAAAATCAGATACATGAATCAGGTTCATGAATATTAATTACATTAACATTGAACTTGATTTGAACAAAAACGAAAATATATATAAAAAATGAGGTACAATTCAGGAACAATAACAATAATCAAAACAATCTACTAAGTAATAAATAATATTTACAAAATATTCTAAATCACTGTTACACCATAATATATTTGATAAAATTGGAAAAATTTAATAATATTTCAATACAATAAATAATAATTTAAATAATACTATGTAAATTTAATCTTTAGGAATTAAAACAACCGAAAAATATTTGAGTATGTAATAAAAACATTCTTAAAGTTATAAATTTTAAAACATAACACGGCAACACACTATAGCAGATTTGTGTCATTTGGACGTTTTAGTAGCAGAATATAAGTAGGCAACCCGTACCAAGTGGGACATTTTTATATATCCGATATCCAATACATAGCCGCCAAAGACAATATCGTTGTAGATACTTTTTCCCACATCGAAGAAATATTAACGGCAGTATCTTCAAACGAACTTTCTCAAGCACAAGCTGAAGACGAAAATCTTTAGCAACGTATACGTATAACGACGTCCTCATACCGCCCATCAGAATCCGATTTCAGCTTACCTACACCGTCATCCAAGAGACGCGTTGGACTCCAATGAACTACTAATCACCATTTTAAATTACCAATCGTTTTGATAACCGAGAAAGGGAGTACTTGTGGGCCGAGCAACTTGAATTTTGTACAACGTTATAACATGGCAACCTCAAGCCAGCAAGTAAGCTGCTACCTTTCACAAATATAAAATTTCCATACATGAACTTGATTCTGATCCTTCAGTTTGTATGGTAGCTATATGATATAGCCATCCGATCTGGAAAATTTGTTCGGATATTTTTGTAATGCTTCAGATATTAATAAATGCGAAGTTTCGTGAAGATATTATATTGTCAAATAAAAAATCTTTCCTTACAAGAACTGACTTCCAATCATGGCGACGACTCGAGTCGACGAATTTTCTGAATTCGCACTCATAACATATGTTATTTGCAAACTCGTGTACGCTTGCGTTACGCACTACACAAAAAGGGTTTAGTTAGCTCATTTTCACCAATCTAAGATATTCCTATTATATAATGTTTTTACAAACGAAAAATAAGTGATAAACTTCTAATTGGAAAGAATTTAAAAATTGAAAGGAGTGCCGAATTACGTAAAAGCGAACTGTTATAAACAAGAATTTAAATCGTGTTGCCCGAGTACGAGTTGCGGAAAGAAAAGTCTTAATGTGCTTACCCTAGATTGTAGTTTTTGTATGGGGAATCCTTCAAAATAAAATGTTTCGTTCCAACGTGGATTCAATGTGCGCCTCTTGATTTTTGTCTCCAAGCGATGTTTCTTATCGGGAAGCAATGTAACACGCACGTATGGATCTGAAGTGCCGCTTAAGTCTTTAGCTGGTAGCTCTTTTCCTTGCAACACTTTTAGTATAAGAGTTGTATTCTGGAAGTCGTATTCCAAAGAAAAGTGTATTTGACCAACATTCTCACTGGGTTCTGAGTTGTCGAAATACATGTCGGTCATAGAAATACTCTTATTCTGGTGTGATATAAATATAAATATATTTATTTGTACATAGAAATTTATATCTGTTTTTTATTAAAGTGTTAGCTATAATAAAGATGTTAAGAAAAATAGTTACTGTGCCATCCTTAACACCGCCACTCTCAGTGCCACCACTCGTATTTGAGCCGATTACAGTCTTATTTTGAGCCTGCGCTGCCGTTCTGCAAAAAAAAAACAAAACAATCTCAAATATTGAAATACAATCATATGCACACACAAGTGCAATTTAATACATTTTACTTTCATCTATCAGATTTTTAAATCTTCCACCATTTGACACACAGCCCTTGAACCATAGATACTTTCCGTGAGTTGGAAATATATGCTGCCATCAGTGCGTCATCATCAAAAATTGTATGTATGAATTCGTACAAAAGAGTGTGCGGATACCTCATTACAGTGGTATTGCTATTACCTTCAATACTACCAAATTTTGTTTTCCTTATTTTACCGGTATGAAATGAACGCTTTTTGTGAAAATCAAATAATAATTTTGAATGGGAAAGTAAAAAAAGTTTATTCAAAGTATTGACCATTGCTTTTACACATTTTGACCACTTTTCTGAAGCGTACTTCATTTCTCACATCAAAATCATTATCTCTGAACCGTTGAAACCATCTTTTGCATGTTGCTTCTGTTAGGGTATGATCATCATATGTCTCGACAAGCATTCGATACGACTCTGTAGCACTTTTCTTAAAATGGAAACAAAAAATAATGCTTTCCGCAAATCATCACTTTCCGGTACAAAATTTGATATTTGATATGCAAAAATATGATGTTGTTTGTTCAATGTCTGTAAGTTTATTGAATATGTTTTTTAGATGTCATGCCAACCAAACAGAAAAAAATTAAGGCTTATTCACAAAAAATGTTCCCTACCAACACATTTGTATCTTAACGCTCACTTTATACCGGTAAACCTGGTGTACAGTTGAGGCTAATAAAAGCGTTATAAAAAAGTATTGTGTATATTGTGAGGCCGCCAAATTTATTTTAACTTATTATTAGCTTGGGTTGTATGTATGTATGTAATGAAATATTACAGCTAAATTTTCACTGGTTTCCAGAAGTCTGATCAACTTGCAACTTTGCACACATGTCAAAGACCGATGACAATGCAATAATTTGAAAAAAGTTTCCCATTATTTTGAAAGTGGGCGTAACCCCGCCGTCTAAATGGGTTATGTATACATCTTCCAATCCGCTAAAGCTAAAATTGTTATTGCACAGAAGCACGCAACACTTTTGGTTTATCGCACGAATTAACAGCTACATAAGTATTTCACAACTCCTCGAAACTTCTATGGAAATGAATGCTGTCTCCTTTTGACGTATACAGAATTTGCTTTTGGAAAAATCGTAAACATTGACAGTCATTTCATTGTTCATATGACTGTCAGTACTGACATAATAAATGTGAGTGTATTGGTTAACCCATCAGCAGTTTCTTGTAGCGTGATTTATATGTTGAGTATGTGTGCGTGTTGAGATCTACACAACTGTTCCGGTGCTACATACTACTGATTCTGAACTGTTCAGTTTTTAAAAATTGTTGTTGTATGACAATAAAGCACAAAACAAATGAAAACTCTGTTCTAATTAAAAAACACAATTATTCATAATCGAGTATTATAAAGAAATGAACGATAGAAAAAGATAATAGTTGCATTTTTAATCCTGAACTTTCTTAAAACTTTCTTTCAAAAATAAGATACATTAAAACAAATTAGAAAATAGTAATCAAATAATTTATTCTAATATAATTCTTCTTTCCAATACTTGCACGTGGTCAAAAAGTAACTGGTTAGTTTAAGTTAGATAAGTAGGCTGATTTTTCGTGAGGCCACGAATAATCACACTTGAACAGCCTCTACATTGTGGTGCCCACATCTTCTAGGTATGGATTAAAAGACCGTCGCATATCTACAAAGCGCCTAGAGCCATCCACAAATTTATTGAGCCGGCTAATATCTACTCCAGCCAATTCGCCGGTGGCGAAAGTTGTCAATGGAGAAGAAAGTGTCTATATGTTCCCACGTCATCTTTCTAAAACAACTGCCGGTGTTGCCAGAAAATTTTCCTAAATACCATTAGCTTCAACTCCAAATCATTTAAAAAACCTCTAACGTTCTCTTCGAGCTGAGATAACCAATTCAAATAATTAAAAACTGGAAGAAACAAAGTACAATAATGTTAAAACTACTTTATTTTTAATCACAAGCCATTTTAGCAGTATAAATGATAAAGGCAACAAGTAAGGAAGAGCCAAGTTCGGCTGTAACCGAACATTTTACATTCTCGCAATCTTCAATTGTCAAAATCGGAGAAATACTCTTAGGTATTGGCAAAACTTATTGAGAATGTTATGAAAAATGCACTTACTCATTATTTAACGAAACCGTGAATGTTTACATTCATATACTTATATTATATAGACTTACATAGCCTTACTTAGTTTTATTACTACATTTAATAATTGGAAGTAGTTTTATGAGCGATATGAGGTTTAGACCGAGGCCAAGATAAATTTCATAAGGACACACTGATATAAGAAAGACTGAATTTTTTCAAGTTAACTGACGTATTGATCGCTAGATATGTAAAAATAGTAATGAAAAGTTAACCGGAAAATCGAAAAATTTTGTTAGGTAAAGGAAAACTAGAAGAAGTATTGTTCTGATTTTACCTAACGGAAAAAGATTCTCTGAATTCCAAGTTTGGTCTATTAAGTCTAAGCGGTTAATAAGATATGCACATTAAACCTATTAGTGGGAGGGGCAAAAGCACTACTAGCATTTTATATTGTTTCGCTTAACGGCTATTTGAGTGGCAATGATCTAATTTCGCCATCTGCCACATCAACCTCCTTAGGATGCCAAGGGACATGTGTACCATCTTCCATTGTCATATCCCAATTTGAGTTGTCATCGGGCTGTGAAAGTGTTAAGACGTGTTTGTGATTAAACGACATATTTTAGCGTAAAAAAATAACAATAATATAAGTAAACAAAAAAACACAAAGCAAAAAGAAAATACCAAAAACAAAAAAATAGCACCATGATTAGCAGCGGCAATATCGAAGTAATTATGGATTGGCAAAGAATTGAGATAACAATATCAAACAAAGGAACAATCTGCAACTCGCCAAACATTACAAAAAATAAAAAATACTGTTAGACCCAACACCTGGAACAGTCAGAAGTTCAAACCGATTTGCTGAACTTAGTATACTCGATAACCACGAGGAGACAGAGGAGGAAAAAGAGGGAACTGGAAATACGGAAAAGAAGAGAAAGAGAAATCAAGTGGGCGAAATACTACTTCAAAGCTTCCACCAATAATACTGGCTAACGTTAACGACAACAAGGGTATGCTAAATTATATTACCAAAACTCTATCCAAAGACATTTTACATATAAGTCCTTAAGAGACGGTCAAATAAGCGTTATGGTTAAGTTTGTGGTAAAATTTTTGGATAGTTATAGAAAGTTTATAACAACACTTGAAAAAGACATGATTTTGTTTCACACTTAACAGTTAAAACAACAACGTTCTTTTAGAGTTGTGATTAAGAATCTTAATTTTTCTACACCAATAGAAACAATCAAAAGGGAAATAGAAGTGTTAGGTCATTGCGTAAGGAATATTAGCAATATTAAAAGTCGTATCACTAAGCAATTTTTTATTGATCTGGAACCGAACAACAACAATGCAGAAATATATGATCTGAAATACCTAAACAATGCATTAATTAAAGTAGAGCCTCCAAGGAAAGTAAATGATATTGTCCAGTGCTTTCGATGCCAAGAATACGGACATATCAAGACATATTATACAAAAACATTTAGATGTGTTAAGTGTTCTTTGAGGAATCCACCAACAGAATGTAAGAAAGACAAAGATTTGCCTGCTCAATGTGTTAACTGTTTGCAACATCAACCTGCCAGCCACAAAGGCGGTAAAATTTATTAAGAACTAGTTGCAAAACAGAATCTTAATAGCCATTCTTATCGTCAGCAATCAAGTAAACCACCTCAAGAGCATAGATTCTCATCAAATAGAACAAAAGAGTTTAATGCTAATGGATGCCGCTCATCTTATGCGCAGGTACTACTTGAAAACAAAAATTCAAACGACGAGAACTCTTTCGAAAGAATTGAAGGTTTATTAGTTAAACAATTTGAATTAACAAAAACAATCTTCTTAACATGATTTCATGAATTTAAAGCGGTTTAAATATAATATTTTGGAAATAGTTATTGAAAATGTTATACAGGCTGCCTGTATTAATGTTAAATGCATGTCATTTGATATTACAGTCTGTGCAGTATATTTTCCACCACGATTTCGTTTCGAAGAACAAGATTACTACAATATTGTTTAAAAAACTTGGCTGTAAATTTATTGCTGGTGCCAAACACCCTTGGTGGGGATCAAGGTTGGCTAATCCTAAAGGAAGCCAATTATTTATATAAATGCATAAGTATATACCAACAATTTGTCAACACTACGGGAAAACCGACGTATTGCCCATCAGACTCCCGCAAAATACCGGATATTCTGGATTTTGGAGTATAGTTTGGAGTACCACGATATCATTTAGATATTTCGGACAACTGTGACCTATGTTCAGAGTGTTCGCCAATTATAATTATATATGGCATTGCTCTTCCAGTACTCTCAAAAAAATATAAAATAGTCACATCAAGGACAGGTATTTTATTATTTCAAGATTGAATAGACGCGAAATTAAAAACATATATATCTCTCAAAACTCATTTAGAGGTGGCTATGGCTGTGGCGTCATTTACAAACATTATTCATGATACATGAGGTGTTCTGCATCAGCCAAAAGTGCTTCAGCGGATACTTTATTTATATCAACTAATCTTAGAAACCTTATAAATAAGGTAAAATACAGCATTAAGTCAATTTAAAAAACAACTAAAAAAATCAACCACAGAGTTTTTAAAAAGTGTGGATCCCAACATGAAGGACTATGAATACAGCCTTTGGAGAGCTACCAAATATTTAAAACGATCTACAAAGCGAAATGTTCCCATACGTAATTATAAAGGGTTTAGAAGAAAACATGGAACTCCAGAGCAATGCCAATGGATATAATTATAAGTGAATTCGAAAATGAACTTTATTCTG